GAATCGAATCTGGGACCCTTCAGTCCGCAGACTGATGTTCTATCCACTGAGCCATAGCAGTTTCGGCTTTTTTCCTTTTTTTTTTTTTTAATATATTTTTATTGATGTTTTACAGAGAGGAAGAGAGAGGGCTAGAGAGTTAGAAACATCAATGAGAGAGAATCATCGATCAGTTGCCTCCTGCACACCCCCTACTGGAGATGTACCCTCACCAAGGTACATGCCCTTGACCGGAATCGAACCCGGGACTTTTCAGTCTGCAGGCCGACGCTCTATTTACTGAGCCAAACTGGTTTCGGCTAGAATTCATTTTCTTATATCAACAGAAAACCAAGGATTTCTAGACATTAATCAGTAGCTTGGAAAGAAAAGGCTAAAGTGAATAGAATTAACTGAATGCAGGATTATCTAGGCCCTAGATTCTAGGGAATAGAAAAGCACTGAATGTTGTTCTTTTTTTTTAAGTTCTCAGAGAATTTGGAAAAGACTGCTTCCACAATAAGAAACTATGAAAAAAGAAAACAGTGCTCTTAGAAGCTAAAAATACTGCAGAAAAAAATTTTTTTAAATCAATATAAGCATTGGAAGTGAAGTCAGACCATCTCTCCTAAAATATAGACTAAATTGATAAAAACCATGGAAAGTATACAGAAGGAAAAAAAGGCATAAGGGATTAGGTCAAGATCTGACTATTGGAAGTTCCTGAAACAGTTGAGTCTTTGGGTTGAAGTGTTCATCAAATGCCAGAAGTTGGGTGTGGGGAGAGAAAATCCCCCAAACCTACCCATGTTGGGTTATGGTAAAATTTCAGAACTATCGAGAGTTTTTATTATTATTTCTGAGTGGATAAAAACAACATGGGAACCAGAGTCAAGACCCCACCCACATGTTCATCGAAATCATGCGAGACCCAGCAGGTTTTGCTCTGGAATTACCAGACTGGGTGCCAGCTGTTCAGCATCCAGAATGAGAAGGATTTACTCTGGAATACTAGTTACCCACACTAGTACTTCTCTCCTGGCAGTTTCCTTTAATATCTAATAGCTGACCTTTCTGCCAGGAGGTAAATGCAGGGCTGCAGCAGGTTTGCTTACAGGCATTTGCTCTTGAGTGTGAGCGAGTCTGTGTGTGAGTGTGCACGTGGGCAGGCACAAAGGCATCTGGACTTCCTCTAGAGTTCCACTTAGTCTGTAGCCCCTTCTAAATACTTCTATGTCTTAATACGTAGCCATCTGTTTTTCATTTTCTAAAAACAGTATAAAATTCTTTAATCTACTGGCGCTAACACCCTCCCACCTTGAACTTCACCCCTTACTGTCATTTTAATCAGGAGGAAGGCGAGACAAATGCATGTGGTTAGTCAGTCAAAACCATCTTGATCCATATTTTGACTGTATGAGGTTTATAGGTCCCAACTTGAAATTTTATTTCCTTTTACCCTAAATTTCATCAAAATATTAATACCTCAAGCACTAATCTCCTTCTTTTACCAAATTTTCATTTGGAATTATATCTAAGAAATCTCAGAATTTTAATACTGATATCCCTCCAATTTAAATTTTACTAAATATTTTACTTTCTTTCATGGAAAAGATTCAAAATAATCCTCCTGTCTTCCCAGCATACATTCTTTACCATAAGAATGAAGAGGAATACTTAATGGCGGTATTGTTTACTGCTGTCACTTTTTATAATACACTGGAGCAATGGTATCTTTGACTAATTATGGCTTAATTAGACCCACTGAGCTTCCCAAGATGAGAGAACCTACTTTAGTTACCTAAATAAACACACTGAGCCTCAGGATTTTGCCAGAGAGTCCTTATCTCATAGGCGCTAGCCGAGGCAGGTGCTAGGAATTTCATTACTCTGGGAAGAACTGAGTACATTTCAGACAAACTAGTGTTGCCGCAGTGCAAATAAATCGGGCGTCCTTCAACATTCAACAAATCCTCACTGAATGTCTTTTGTGGGTGAGGTACTACCGGTCTAGGTATTAGGGAATAAAAGAGACAAAAATCCCTGCCCTTATGATATATTCCACCGAGGGAAGACATCATAAACAAAACAGAATGCACAATGCCTAAACAATCATTGCTTTGGAAAAAAAAAATAAAGCAGGGAAGGAGCATAATGAGTGCCAGGAAGGAGCTTCTGAAATTGTAGATGGAAGGACATGACCAAGTGAACTGCATGGACATGTGGGGAAAGAGCACCCTGGGCAGGGAGGACAGAACAGGAGCAGGCTCTTGGGAGGGTGTCTAGGTACAGGAGAAAACAGCAAGGTGGCCAGTGAGGCTAGCCCTGAGTGAACATGAGAAAGGCAGACTCAATGGGGTTTACATCAAGCAAGGCCTCCTGCGCTATCCTAGTGACTTACTAGGAATGTGGTGAATGTCATTGAAGGGTTTGGAACAGAAAGCGATGTAACCCAACGTAAACAGTCACACTTTGTCTAATCTACTTCCTTTCCATTCCAGAGTTTCCCACTGCTTCATCTATGGACAATTCTTAACAATGGGAAGTTAGGAACTAGAACAAGTTTTGAGTATAAACTTCATAAATCATAACAGCTTTTTTTTTTTTTTTAAATTCTCTGCAAGTGAGAATTTTTCTCTAGTATTCATTCATTTTTAATATTCTTGAAGGAAAAGCAATAAACAAGTCTGACTCACCCACGCTCAAAGCTAATAAAAGCAGAGCGTGGAAAAGAACAGTGAGTCATTTCTTTCTACGTGATTATGTTGTAGTTCAGGAGGTTCTCAAATACATAAAATGGAAGAAAACTTTCCATGTGTTACCTCCTTTTACCTTTAACCATATCAGGTACATATTTTGAGGGTCAGAAAGATAAGGCTGATTTGCCTAAGGTCACAGAACTAATAAATGATAACCAGAAATCAAACACAGGCCAGCAGATCCCAAGACCTGCTGCTACTGCCCATTTGACTCAACAGAAGGTTTGCAAAAATTATCAAGTATTGGGCTAGAGAGAATGGGCACTGACTTTTGCAGAATGGTACTGCAAATGAGAAAATATGTGCTCCTTAGTGGGTAATTTCTTTCAAAGAGAATAGATATTAGGTTGAAATTTATTTTTTAACTAGACACTCATTGCACGATATCCCAGCTACCCAGGAGCCAGCAAGTCCCCATGCCCCAGCCGCCCGGAAGCCAGCATGTCCCCGCTCCTACCGGGAGCCAACAAATCCCCATTCCCGACCACCTGGGAGCAGCAGGTCCTGGCTTCTGTCTGGAGCACCACTCCAGTAGCTACCTCTGCTGCCTCCCTTTCCCCCATAGCAGGCTTCACACCACTCTGCACCTGCATATGCAAATTAACCTCCATCTTTGTTAATTTGCATACTCACTCTGATTGGCAGTGGGTGTAATTGAGTGATGGTTAATTTGAATGTTTTTCTTTTATTAAGATTAGTTACCTATGGAAATCATGAGCTTTTAATAGATACAAGTCTCAATGGGGAAAATGAATTACACATCACTTTTAACATTCTCCTCCCACTCATTTCCGAATCCTACTTGAATCTTACTCTTATTGTGGCTAAAGAATCTACCCCGTATATTTTAAAGTGAGACTGTGTGAAAGGGATAAAAGTGTAGATGAAAGGGCCACATGCTGACCTGACAAGCTCAGGGGAGGCCTGCATGGCAGGCAGTCTTGCAAACTCAGAGACCTAAAGTAACCACAAAGGATGGCCTAAAATTAAACTTTAACTAAAAGCTGTTATGGTGGGCAGTTAGGTCCAAGGCTGGTATCTTCACTGACAAGGTCAACCTTTACCTTAACTGAGCTTGTCTGTCCTTTTGTATCTATGATAACATACCCTTGAAGTGTCTGGATAACTTGTAACTTCCCTTTTTCTGGAGTCCCTGGGGCACAACCAAATGGGCTGGGCACCAGGACAGATATGTCCTGCACCCACCTAAGTATGTGTCCATCATTTTACTTTTTATCCAATCCCAGGGGTTTTCCCACCTCCTCAATCTATCACCAATGAATTTCATGTAACCCACATACATCCCTCCTTTGATTGCAATGTATAAATACAAATGTAACCCACCATTCTCTGGAGCATTATCTCAATTCATTGAGGTTCTGCTTCCCAGCAGTTGTTGACAGTTTGGCTCAAATAAACTCACAAAAATTCTTTACAGATTTCAATCATTTTTTTTTTTTTTACATTAACAAAAGTGAGAAAAGGAACACAGAATGGCTACAGAAGTTGAAAGAATCAGAACTGAGGTTTAAATACAGAATGACAAAGTGAAAAACATGAATTTACTCTCTGTAAGGCTTCCTCTTCGACAAAGAATATAAAGGAATCAGTTGCTCAAGTAAACATGCACACTAAATTCTACTTAAAGTCAAGTAATTGGTTCCAAGTCCTAATGCTTAAAATTATTAGAGTATCCATTTGTTGTGAATTCCTATCTCTTATGCAAATTTGACAGTACAGTAATGTTGCACCTTCTCAGCTGTATTGGATAAAAAAAAAGTGAGGTAGTACTAGAAGAATTCTTACACATATTAATATATTCCGAGTTAAGAGATTTAGATAGAGCCTGAGTATTAAGGCATGTTATAGAGGAAAAAGAAGACAACAAATAATAATAGTTGCTCATCATTATAGCTTCTAGCCATACAAAAGACCTTGCCAGAAGTAAGAGTGAGTCTTACATTTTGATCAAAGGCAAAAATACTGAAAACAAGAACTCCAGAATGTCATAAAACGAGTTACTCTTTCATAAACATGTTCTTTTCTAATTGAAGGAGATTCCCCCTTCCCTCCCCTCACCCCCAATTTTTTAGTACACATGTCCAATTCCATGTTGAGGTAACATCCAATGTGTTAACATCCAATTCCATGTCGAGGTAATAGCCATATGATTGAACTGGAGAATGTTATACAAAAGAATACACAAAAAGATTGTAAAATTCCAGAATCACTCTTTAAACTTTCTGCTAAAGTATTTCCTACCTGAGGGGCATTTGTAGCCACCAGAAATGCATTTGTCCGCCCTGGGTGGTCGTAATCATGCATGGCAGCTGCCACATACAAAGCCATCAATTCCAAGGCAGGAATGTTTGAAGACAGGCAGCCATAGCTCTCATCTGGAATTGAGCAGCTCCTCGAAGAAATGTAAGCAATCTGCCCAGGGTTAGTTCCATCATCAGACTCTGAGGAACAAGCAAAAGCAGCATAAGACATACAACCTTCTCACGAGGAGGCTGAGGCGCATCCCATAGGCAATATGATTATCTTATGTTTACTTACATGAGTTAGATTCTACTTAAAACAATAATAAGCCATCCTAACAAGTGTTAAGGGATCTCATTGTAGTTTTGATTTATATTTCCCTAATAATTAATTATGTCAGTTTCTTTTTGTATACCTGATGCCATTTAGATGTCGTCTTTAAAAGAATGTTTAATCAGATTTTTGGGGGGTTTTATTGAGTTGTGTGAGTTCTCCATTTATTTTTGGGCATTAACCCCTTATCCAGTATGTAGTTTGAAAAAACTCTCCCTCATTTTTGTTTTCTTTGATGTACAGTTCTTTTTAGTTTGACTTAGTCCTACTTATTATTTATTTACTTATTTTTTAGTATTCTGTCACCATTCATCCACTCCTTGGCCTCAGCACCACACAATCGCTGGTCCCCTGCCCCCAATCTCATTTCCTCAGACAACTGGTCAACCTGACCACTCTGACCTGCCACGGGAGACTAAGTCTGGCCTGGCTATCTGGTCGAATGCAGTCACCAGGCAACCTTCCCCCCAGCCGGAGGTTTTTGGGAGTGCTGGTCGACAGGGCTCCTCGGAGAGGGAGGAAGAAAAATGGGGAGGAGGGAGCTGGCCCTAGCCCCCCTGGGAAAAGGGACTTCGGCCACTGCCACCCACCCTCACTTCCCTGTCCTAGCCTAGGGCCCTAAGGCCCCTGCCGGGGTCAGGAGAGGCGATTCCACATGCACAGTTCCCCTCTTCCTTCCCTCGCACTCGGCAGGAGGGCAGGAGGGCGGCCGTCCCCCTGGGAAGGAGAGGGGACAGGAGCAGGACAAACCCTTGTGTCTAGGGCTGACTTTCAATAGATTGCAGCGAGGGAAAACTGCTCTGCTACGTACGAAACCCCGACCCAGAAGCAGGTCCTCTACGAAGGGTTTAGCACCAGGTTCCCTATGAACGTGTGTTGCGTGAAGGACAAGGGGGTGTCCCCCTTTCCTGATGCACCCCATTTCCCAGGACAAAAGTCCCTCCCCATAGGACTGGTCCCCATGCAAAGTGGGCGTGCTGCCCACCGGCAGGGACAGCTGAGGCCAATCGAGGCTCCATTGATCGCGCTTGGGCGGGATTCTGACTTAGAGGCGTTCATTCATAATCTCACAGATTGCAGCTTCTCCCTATTGCCTCCTCAGCCAAGCACATACCAGATGTCTGAACCTGCAGTTCCTCTCATACTGAGCAGGATTACCATGGCAACGCATCGTCAGTAAGGTAAAAGAACCTGTCTCATGAGGCTTTAAGCCCAGCTCATATGCCCTATTACTGGGTGAACAATCTAACATTTGGTGAATTCTGCTTCATAATAATAGGAAGAACCGACATCGAAGGATCAAAAAACGAAGATGCTATCAACACGTGAGAAGTGAGGGTGGGTGGCAGTGGCTGAAGCCCCTATCCCAGAGGGGCCAGGGCCAGCTTCCTCCTCCCTGTTTTTCTTCCTCATCTCTCCGAGTCAGTGAAGACAACCATCAGAGTAGTGGTATTTCACCATCGGCCCCCCAATCCCACCCCCTCGCTTATTCTGCACCTCTGTCTCTTCACCGGGCCAGGCTAGAGTAAAGCTCAACAGGGTCTTCTTTCCCCGCTGATTCCGCCAAGCCCGTTCCTTTGGCTGTGGTTCCGTTCCGCTGGACAGTAGGCAAGGACAGTGGGACTCGTTCATCCATTCACTCATGTCACTAATTAGATGACGGAGGCGTTTGGCTTCCTTAAGAGCGTCAGTTACTCCCGCGTTTACTCGCACTTCAGTGACTTTCTTCACTTTGGCATTCAGAGCACTGGGCAGAAATCACACCCTGGCCCATGCTTTAATTAAACAGTCGGAGTTCCCTGGCCCTCACCAGTTCTAAGTTGGCTGCTAGGCCGAGGCGAGGCAACCTGCCTAACCAAGGCGGGGTGAGGAGGGGGCGGCTGGGAGGCGAGAAGGGGACCCTTAACGTCACCCCAGGCTTCCCCATGGCACCCGCCATAGGAAGGGCCTGGCCTGCGTTCAGAGTTGGGGAAGCCGGGCCCTAGGGTGTCCAGGCCCCCACTACCCATTCCTTCCCCCTCCCCCCCCCTTCAGCCTCGTTCCCACCAAGGAGGGAAGAGCGACGTGGGGAGCCGCACATGGGGTCCCGGTTTTGGACAGGAAGGGCCGTGGGGGTGAGCCAGCGCCCAGCCCCGCTTCACGCCCCAGCAGGACCCACCGACTGAGCCCCAAGAGCCCATCCCTATCCCGAAGATGGATCCGGTTTCCCTTACCCCACTGCTCCAGCATGCCAGAGGCTGTCCACCTTGGAGACCTGCTGCGGATACAGGTGTCCCCCCTACACTCAAGATTTACACCGTCTTCCCTGGATTTCCAAGGGCCACGAGAGCTCACTGGGTGCTTTTCGAGGCACGTCCCCTCTCGGGCGAACCCAGGCCAGGGCCAGGCGCCCTGCCCTTCACAGAGAAAAGAGAACTCTCCCTGGGCTCCCGCCCGCTTCTCCGGGATCAGTTCCTTCTCCTGGTGTCTTCCTCCCCCCCCCCCCCCCCACCACCTCTGCTCCGCCACTCCGGATTCGGGGATCTGAACCCGACTCCCTTTCGATCGGCTGAGGGCAACGGAGGCCATCGCCCGTCCCTTCGGAACGGCGCTCGCCCATCTCTCAGGACCGACTGACCCATGTTCAACTGCTGTTCACATGGAACCCTTCTCCACTTCGGCCTTCAAAGTTCTCGGAGTATCTACGGCCACCACCAAGGTCTGCGCCTGCAGCGGCTCCTCTGCGCCGCGCCCTGGGCTTCCAGGCTCCCTGCACGGCCCTCTTACTCATCTCTGCATAGCTTGCTCGGGTGGGAGGGCGCCGGGTGTGTGTGTGTGGTGGTGGTGGTGGGGGGGGGGGGGGTAGGAGGGCAGGAACCCCTCTGACCAGGCTCCCATCCCCCTAGCCGGAAAACCGCTAGCCATCGCCGTGTTGGGCCCGCCGCTCCAGCGCCATCCACTTCCAGGGCTACTGAACTCGGCACGTGAGTTGCACGCTCCTTAGCGGATTCCCACGGCCATGGCCACCATCCTGCTGTTTATATCAGCCAACACCTTTTCTGGGGTCTGAGGAGCCCCGGCACCGGGCGCCTTAACCAGGCCTTCCATTCATCCCGCAGAGCCAGTTGTGCTTAACGAGAGTGGTCCCCTAGGCACTCGCATTCCATGCCCGGCTCCACGCAAATAATGGCAGTACTTCAGACTCAAGTACCAAAGAATGTAAAGCAATGACTGTCTACTACACTGATTAGTCTGGTAATATTTCTCATAATTTGTTATTGAGCAAATTATGTCCATGTGTGCATATGTCTATATATTATTGAAGTATTTCTTCCCTCTTCTTCCATTTTTTTTTTTTTTTTTTTTTTTTTTTATGGATTTGAGAGGGACAGGGAGAGACAGAAACATCACTAAGAAACATCAGTTGCTTCCTGTATGACCCCTACTTGGTATCAAGGTAAAAATCCAGGAATGTGCCTTGACCAAGAATTGAACCTGTGAACTGAACTCTTGATTCGTGGGTCAATACTCAACCACTGAGTAACGACGGCCAGGCTCTCCATTCTTTTTCTTTTTCTTTCTTTTTTTTTTTTTAGAGATCCAAAGCATATCTCCACTCTTTTATGAGCTAGAATAAGAGAACCATGAATGTTATAATTCATTATATTTGCATAAATAATTATACTATGATGAGGAACAGAACTAACTTCTTTGGGAGCAAAATTTGAAAAGGTTTTGTAATTCATTTAAATTGTATGTGAGGCTTTCAAATAATGGGAATATTTACATGATATATCTAAAAAAAAACAAAAACAGAAACAAGAATTAAAAGAAAGCAAGGAAATGATTATCATCCTATATAATAAAAGCCTAATATGCTAAGTGTCCAACTGTTCATTTGACCAATCACTATGACTTGTACTAACCACCAAGGGGAAGACGCTCTGACTGGTAGGTTAGCTTGCTACTGGGGTCCAGCCGATTGCAATTGGGCAAAACGATCCAGGCATGCCCTGGAGCCCTCCTGTGTACTGGTGAGGTCCCTCGGCCTGGCCTGCACCCTCTCGCAATCCGGGACCCCTCAGGGGACATCAGAGAGCTATTTTTGGCCTGATCCCATAGACCAGGACTTGGGACCTCAACAATGCACAAATCCATGCACAGGGCCTCTAGTAATATAATATTCAGGATAGTAGTTATATCAATGGTGTATCAGCAGGATGGGACACAGAAGAGACTTGGTAGACTCAGTGGTACTGGATCTTAACTTAGCCCTTAAGATGAGTGGTAGGTTTCCTAATTTGCATGTCTTTAATATACATAAAAACTTACATGGCCCTTTGTATAAAAGGTTAGTTACTGAAAAATTTGAAAGGTAATGAAAATAGGTAGCTTGATTAATTTTATTACTTAAAAGGAAGATCTGCAGAAAGAAGTACCTGTTGTGTTTCCTGTACCATGATCACCGTGGATTTGCTGTAAGCCAGGAATTGGCCTTGTTGTCAGAAACCAAACTGCATGTAGGACATCTGTGGCGTGTATACGATTGTGATCTAAAGTCACCAAAATGATTTTTAAAACTGATTATTCTATTACATTTACCATAAAACATCTTAAAAAGTATAATTTTTAGTTATCCCCATATATAAAATATATGGCTTAGAATGATTTCCCGCAATTACATTTTTGTTTCATCTTATTTTAAAAGCCTCAACTCACACTTTGAAAACATAATAAAGAGGTCATAAAAAAAGAAAGGTAACTAGGGCTAATTTAAAGACATAGAAAAATATATTTAAGGTTGTAGTTTTTTTGTTTTTTGTTTTAAATTGTAAACAGTGTTTAGATTATGGAGACCTATTTTTTGCACTCGAGTGCATAGAACAGTTAAAATTCTGGATACTTGAATATTCCTTGATCCACCCATAACTTTTATGTTCAGTTCATTATTCATAATTTATTGAGGGGCATATGAATTCATAACTTTTTTATGGGTGAATCAAGGAATGTTCAAGTATCCAGAATTTTAACTGTTTTATGTACCCGTATGCAAAAATACAAACAAAAATATTTCACAAAAATATAAGTATGATACTTATTTCTCAGCTCTTCTATAAGGATTAAATGTTAAATGGTATATGAACACATTGAGAAGAATGTCTGACACAGCACATGATCAAGAAAACATTTGTTTACTGAAATACTACTTTGTGAGGTCTATAAGTAAAACCCAGCTTTGCTATTTATAATTTTATAATCTTGGGAAAGATCCTTCTGAGTTTTTAACTTCACCTGTGAACGGCAGATAATACAACCTTTCCTAGAAAGATTAAATAAGATAACCTTTGTTAATCTAATGATTATAGTCATAACTGAAATTCAATAAAAAAAATCAACACTTCAACCAGTATTTAATATGTATTTATGTAGAACTGGCAGATGATACAATACTAAGTGTTAAAGTTTCAGAGCATGATTCAATTATCCTACATAATAAAAGTCTAGGTGGTGTCATACCCTCATGTGACATCATCACAAGATGGCCACCACAAGATGGCTGCCACAAGATGGCTATCAGTGGAGAGTAGTTGGAGACTATCAGGCTGGCAGGGGAGGGCAGTTGGGGGCCAACAGGCCTGACGGGGAGGGCAGTTATGGGTGACCAGGCCTTCAGGGGAGGGCAGCTAGGGGCAGTCAGGCCAGCAAGGAAGGGCAGGGCAGCTGGGGGCATCAGGCTGGCAGAGGAGAGCAATTGGGGCAATCAGGCTGGCAGGGGAGCAGTTAAATATCAACCAGGCCAGCAGGAGAGAGATTAGGGGCAATTAGGCAGGCATGCAGGTGAGCAGTTAGGAGCCAGCAGTCCTGGATTGTGAGAGGGATGTCTGGCTGCTGGTTTAGGCCTGATCCCTTTGTGATCGGATCTAAACTGGCAGTTGGACATCCCCCAAGATGTCCCAGATTGGAGAGGGTGCAGGCCGGGCTGAGGGACACCCCTCCCCACTGTGCACAAATTTCATGCACTGGGCCTCTAGTCATAATCACTTGTTATTGACCATTTACTATGTTCCATGAATTCTGATGTGTGCTTTATTTATATAGATTATCTTCACTACCTATGGAGTAAGTTCTATTATTCTCATTTACAAACTTGAAAACTGAAATTTAGAAAAGTTAGATCCAGAAACTTTTTTTTTTTTTTAGTAATAGGTAATAGATTTGTTTCTTTTTTAAAATATATTTTGTATTATTGCTATTATACAATAGATATCTCCCATTTCCCTACCCTTTCACCCTCTTCTCTCATACCTACCCATCCAAGTCTTCACTATCCTATTGCCTATGTCCATATTAGGCACTCAAATATTAACAAAGATGTACATCATGTAGTAAGTGAAAGCAGACTATAAATAGGTATTGATATTATGATTTACATTATAAAAAATAAACATATAAGAAAAAAGTCTTAAAGAATATCAAAATGTTAACAGTAGTCAGTTAACTTTAAATAGTAAGATACAGATTTTCTTTTTAAATGTCTATTTAAAACTTACCCAAACATGTAATTTAAAAGTGTTTAGTGACTATCTGAAGGGAAAAATAATACAGGGTTTAAAAACCACTATTAATTGAACTTAAATAATAAGACATGCTAATACTTACAAGGAATGTCTCGATAGCCATTTTCTAATGCACGAAAATAGTTCATGAATTGTAGAGTGGGAATGTTAAATATTTCCAATAAACCAGTGTCTTGAAATAAGGTATACATAACCTAAATATCAATTAAAATAAATCAGAATTTCTAATTGTAGTTGAGTATATGTTTTTGTGATTTGCATTTAGGAATATTAAGTTAATAATTTTTTAAAAACTCTCCTACAATGAGATCTTTTTAAACATGAAAAAGGAAGCCATTACCCGAAAGCCCATGAAAACCAAAGAAAGATTACCATGTCATGTTCTAGTTTAAAATTTTCCCATTATTCATAATTTACTGAAGGGCATATGAATTCTATTCTAGTCCTAGGTGTTAAAAGAAGTCATGTTTTTATCTCGAAAGACTTAAATGAGATGAACTTATATACCTTCCATATAATTTATTCTGTTCTTATGTTTCATAAATAAGATATTTTGTTGTTAATGAGGGTGATATTTTTAGAAGGTTAATCTGATACTATTGTATGAACCCATCAGGGGTAACCTCAAATTGCAAAGAAGCATAAGTTTCATTGGTTAGCACTTAATCATTAATCACCGTTTTCCTTTTTCAACCTTTAGATTCAATATAAAGTAAAACTTTATTATTTTAGTTAAAATTAAATCCCATTATTACAAATACTTTTCACTTACATATATGTTTTCAAATTTTCTACTGGAAACTTCATTTGTGAAAATAACAATTCAATAAAAAATGTTGAATTTCTGCATAAACCAACATTATACATTTTTAGATTCTGCTTTTTATTTATAATTCATAATAAAAAAGTAGTGGGGAATTTTAAACAAACCTGACTGAGGATTCTTCCTGAATTCTCTCCCATTTTTTCTACAAGTTCAAAAATTTGAAAATTCCAGTTGTTCATCTTTTCTATTAATGAATCATAATCTTCTATTAAAATTGGGTCCAGTGATGCTTCCTGTTCAGTCTGTACATATGAGGGTGGGGAGAGATTCAAACCAATATATCTTTTATAAATATTGTTAAATCCATATCTAAATTCGAACACTTAAGTGGTCAGTTCTGTTTTCTACAACTGTTTCTCTCAAATACGATCTGTACTTCCTATTTCGTCTCTTTATAGAATGCTATCTTCACATAAATATAAACATGTCTTCTATATATCAGGACATTTCTTACTCTTCACTTTTATAAATAAAAATATTTCTGAAACACTAAAGAAATCTCAATTCCATTTTCATTTTAAAATTTATAGGTATCAAGAATAATAGAAACTTATATCCTTATAGTGGCATTTATTAACTTCCCAAGAAAAATGGATGAGTTTTTACCTAAAAAGCTTAAATTATGAACTTTCAGAACAAAAAAGTGCTATTTTAAATAAATAGATTATTTCATTGTTTTTAATGACTATACACGTTTCCCAGATCTTAACATATATAATAATAATAAAATCCACATTGGAAATAATATATCTACTATAAAACTAAATAAAATGAGTTCATTGTAAAATGAATGCACTTGGTTGTTCTGAGATGGGTTTAGAAGTAGTTACTTTTTTAACCAAGGTTTTCTTTAATGTGATAGAGTGACTCTCAGTAAAAAATTTCCAATTGTATATTGTATGACTATAGAAATACACATTTTGATAATTCCATAAAAAGTGTCTTTAGTGCTACATAGTATAATAGTCCCCCACTTATGCATGGGAGATGTGGTCCAAGACCTGGCGGATTCCTGAAACATGAATAGTGCTAAATCTTGTGTATACTGTTAATTTCCTACATAAACACCTGTGACAATTTGATAAATGGGAGATATCAATAATGGGACTACACTACTATGCTGTAATAAAAATGTGAACGTGGTCTTAAAATATATTCACCAGTTCTGCTGAGATGAAAAATTTTTTTTTCAAAGTATCATAATATTAAAAACATTGTTCTGAGCAAAAATAACAAAACTAAACTATGCACTAACATTTTCACCTTAACATAATTATAAGTTTTACATTTGGTTGCTGTTCATCCTGTGCCTCTTCTGTTAGGTGATTATCACCTTCCAAAATTAATTTTCTGCCATCTCCGTTCTCTGTTTCCACTTCTTGTTGAGCTTCTGTAAGGTTGAGTGATTCTTTTGTCAAATTGGTGTTGTCTTCCTCACCTTTCAAAAAAATCATATATAAAAATAAAACTTCCCCTTCATGGGCAGTTTCGTCAGAAAAATTATTTGAAAAATGGGCAGTTTCGTCAGAAAAATTATTTGAAAAAATAAATAGAGGGAACCATTATGGCATTAAATCTAAATGAATGACATTAAAACATTAATTCCCATTAATCCTATCTTGCTGGACTATTTGGCCCATGTATCTTGTGCTCGTGCAATACAAACATTCACCTGATATATCTACTCATGGATGAAAGAGATGAGTGGATATTCTTCATAAAAGTGAGAACAAAAATAAGTCCCCAAATCATTTTTTACAAATTTGATGTAAACAATTTCTAACGTCTGAAATTGTTTGAATTTTAGACCTGAAAATAAGATTAAAGCACATCTAAAAACCAAAGCATATATTAAATGTAAATTGTAATTGAAAATTAAGAGGAAAAGAAAATCTGCCACTGAAGCAAGTTATAAAAGAACATAAATGTGTAGGTAAAAAAAAACAAAATTAATACAGTATCATAAGTGTGACTTATTTCTTTACAATGTGATTAAAAATACCCTTTTCTCAAATCACATGGAAAAGAGAAGCAGCATTGTTAACTAAATAGTATTCATCCACATGTAAAAAATATTCCTATTTCTTCTATTTGTAATAACCTGAACATAAAGCTTCCAAAACTCATCAACAGTAGAATACATAAACTAGTGTACGCAGACAACTGCACATTACAAAGAAAAAGAACTACAATCACATGCAACAATATGTATGATTCTTAAAAATATAATGTTGAACTCTGGCAGTTGTTGCCCAATGGTTAGAGTGTGTTGGCCTATGCCCTGAAAAGTCCTGGGTTTGATCTGGGTTGCAGATTTGATCCCTGGCCCCAGTTGGAGCACATGTGGGAGGAAACCAAATGCTGTTATTACTATTTTGAGTGTTTTTATCATGAAATAGTGCTATTTGGTTTTTTGTCATCCTTTTTATGCATCTATTAAGATTATCATATGGTGTTTTTTTTCCTCTTTATTTATTTTTAATATATTTTATTAATATCTTGAGAGGAAGGGAGAGGGAGCTGGAAACATCGATGAGAGAGAAACACCGGCCAGCTGCCTCCTGTACATCCCCTTCTGGAGATGTGCCCTTAACTGGAATCGAATCTGGGACCTTTCAGTCCACAGGCTGACGCTCTATCCACTGAGCCAAACTGGTTTTGGCTCTCTCTATTTTTTTTAATGTGGTATATTATATTAATTGATTTCAAACATTAAACTGCCCTTGCATTTCTGGGATAAATACATCTTCGTCATGATGTGATGGTTTTATATGTTGTTGGACTCAGTTTGCTAGTATTATGTTAAGGATTTTTGTGTTTATACATATAAGACATACTGGTCTGTAGTTTTCTTGTGATACCTGTGGTTATGGCATCAGGGTCTATCAGTCTTACAGAATGAGTGGGAAGTTTGCTCTTCTATTTTTTGGAAAAAGTTTTTTGTTGTTTTTTAAAGAATTGGTCTTTGTTGTTATTTTTCTAACAGCACTTTAAAACGTAAGAGCCAAAACTACTGAATTGCACACTTTAAAATGAAGAACTATGTAAAGAGATTCCTAGGAGCCTACAATCCCTGAGAGGACCTACCTATTTCTGTACTTTTATATTCCTAGGGTGACGCTACCAAAAGGATTTTCCTTTTACTAGTCCCTGGCCCTCTGGCAAACACCCTTTTGGTAGCCCCAAACTCTAGATTCATCCTTTTGGACTTCGATCCTCCTCCAGATCTAGTGGTATTTCTGAGGAGCTTCAAGCAGATTTATTTTGTTAATAATTTATACAGCGTTTCTACCTACTTTCAGGGGGAATGTTTGTGCAAGTTAACTACCTATTATTGGAAGCTTGATCATCAATTGTTTAATGTTATAAAACTACTATAATTTTATCACCATAGTAATTTTTTGTCGACCATAAAAATATTTCAGAATGATATGATTAAATTTTAAAGTCCTTTCTGTGCCATAAAAACCTTTTGGCCTTACATTGTGCAGCATAAATTTCAACATTATTATACTTTATTTTGCTATTTATGAGCCAAATCCATCATCTAAGGTAATATTCATTTGTACAGCCATTTTTACTCTTCAAAATACTTCCACCATCTATTATTTATACTTTGTTCTTAATAACTCCTCTCTGAAGTAGATAAAACACCATAATGTTCATTTTAAAGGTGGATAAACTGAAATTAAACCCATTCATTTATTCATCCTAAAAAGTAATGTAAAAATTGCTCATAAAGTTAAACACTCACCTAATTTCCCATTCCAGCAGTCTGTACCAGACTCTGATTCAGATGTTGAAACATATTTCAGTATTTGATGTCCACAGCTTATAGAATAAAATATAAATATACATGCATATATAAACATGTATATATAAAAATGAGAGAAAATTTTAAAATCTAAGTATAATTAGAAAATCTGCTCTATTTTTAACCAAGGTCCCAAATGCAACACACTCTAATAATACAACCTCTATAAATTTAAAAGGATTTATCCTAGAAGGCATCTGTGTGACCCTGAAGAAAGTAACATATTTTGAAAGTCAACATTGATGTCTGAAGTAAACAGTATCTAAGCAGAAATGAGAATGAACACCCTATGAACTGGGTATTATAAACAGGCACTAAAACAGTGTATACGAAATAATTCTCTTACACTTACTGATAATTGGATGAATAGAATCCAATTATATTTCACTTCAGATGGAGGTCATTTCATTGGAAAATGAATGATACCACTGAAATGAGTTTTATTTAGAATATATTCTACTATGATAGATAAATAAGGAAGAGAATATAGTCTTAATTCATCACCTAGTTATTACATAGAACTAGAATGTTAGTTACATTTTAAGTAACCTATATTGTAAAACAAACAAACGTTTGGGAAACTTACCTGTTACATACATTGCTATCAGAATTTCTAAGTTGATAAGAATCTGGTGAAGTGGGTACATTGCCCAGAGATCTGTGTAAAGTAACACTTGGCTTAGTAAGAAAATCAGCAGTATCTGGAAATTCTATAGGTGATCGACTGGTTAGAGAGCCAGGAGACAGTGGTGGTCCATGGCCAGGAGAATTCACAGGACTCAGGCTGGGTAAAACACCTTGGAAAGTTAAAAGAGAGGAAAGAGATAGGTAAGTACTCATGCTTTTGTGTATGATGTTTATTTTGTTTACATTTATGTACTTATAGAGAGTATTTTCCTTCTTTAAAGAGAACAACGTATTTACAATTAAATGATAAAATAGACTTGTAGATGGAGCTCTATCTTCAAGACATTCTAGAAATTTACGCATCATATTGGTCATTGTCAGTGACTCTATGGCAGGATAGCATATTACAGGTGAATTAGATGAGCAGAGTAATTTTTTTTTTTTTTACCACATTTTATTGAATATTTTTCAGTATAATAAAATTCAATTTTATTTAAAAAAATCAATTTCTTAACATTAAGCAAGTTGAGCATATAATAAAAATTACATGTTAACACAACAGCATATACCTCTTAAAATATGCAAATCTGCCCAGCTTATTTATTTATTCAACAAATACTTGAGAGCCTAGTACATGCTGGAAAATGTGCTGGTTTCACAATGGAGCAAAAGGTGCCATCTCTGTAATTCAACGAACAAGTGCTATGTGCTAACTAAGGGAAAGAAGTGCTTCAGAAATGTGCTGAGTGCTTTGAACTTAGGCAGAATGGGTATATCTGGAAAGAAGGCAGACTTAAAATTTTACTTGGAAATAAAGACCCAAGTAAAATATGAATCAGAGAGGAAAGAAATAACAGTTATTAAGGACCTATATTTTTAGGCACAGAGGTAAACACTTAAGAAACTGTGAGATGGTAATTTTATGTGCTAACTTGGCTAAGCTATGGTGCCCAGCTGTTTTGGTCAAAAAGCAGTCTAGATGTTGCTGTGAAGGTATTTTTCTGATGTGGTTAATATTTAAATTAGTAGTCTGGGTAGGGCAGATTATCCTTCATAACGTGGGTTGGCCTCATTCAATTAGTTGAAGGCCTTAAGATAGGGGTGTCGAACTCAATCAGAGAAGGGGCCAAAATCTAAAATCCAGCCTAAATCGCAGGCCGAATGGTTTACTGAACAGTCATAAACTGTCATTGTGATGGAAACGCAGCGGAGTGCAGTGATGACAGCGCGGTGCGGGCCACATTGCAAGGCCTGGCGGGACGGATTTGGCCCGCGGGCCTTGTGTTTGACACATGTGCCTTAAGAGAAAAGGCTGAGGTCTTCACAAAAGGAAGGAATTTTTGCCTCCGGAGTGCCTTGGTTTTTTTGCTGTTGTTTTTAATCCTCACTCAAGGATATTTTTCCATTGATTTTTAGAGAGTGGAAGAGAAAAGAGATAGAAACTCATCAATTGGTAGCCTCCTGCAAACACCCCCACCAGAGACCAGGCCCTGGAGTAGCCTGCAATACAACTGAGGTATATGCCCTTGACCTGAATTGAACTCGGGGCTATTCGGTCCCTAGGCTGATGCTCAATCTACTGAGCCAAACTGGCTAGGGTCAGACTGCCTTTGGACGCTGGTAGAATTTCCATGCTGGCAGCCTGTACTAAAAACTTCAGATTTTATAGCCCTCACAATCTCAGAAAAACAATGCCTTTATATAAATCCATCTTGCACCTATTTCCTCTCTCCATACATGCATACATTCACAAATATATATTATATATGTTCACACACACAAGCATCCTAATAGTTGTTTCTCTAGAAAACCCTGACAGATACAATGTAATTTTATTTACTCTTCACAATAACAATGTAAGTTAAGTTGCATCTTCATTTTATATGTGAAGAAAAAAATACAACCAAAAAAAAAGTGTTCCTAAGGAACTTAATTTAGTTAGCAGTTAACACTGTGAGGAAAAACACACTCTGAAAAGGCTGTCACTGCTGTTCTATAAGATTATTTTATTGAGAGGATCCTATAAATTTTATATGACATTACGGCTGAATGGGATTTTATAAATATTCTGGTCAAATGGTCAAATAGTTTAATGTTTCAGAAGAAAAAACTAAAGACTAGAGAGGAAAAGGGCCTTGCTTGTCAAAGTCATAATGATTAGTTACTAACTGGATAAAAAAAAAGCTCACATTTTCAGCATTCTTTTCTCTAATTATACCAGCAAGTGTTAAAAAAAAAAAAAAAAAAAAAAAAAAAAAAAAAGTCCAAACAAATAGGCAAGAAGACTAATGGATAAATAATATTAGACTAAAAATTTGATATAGCAAAGCTTCAAGGAGAAAGGAAAATGGTAGAGGAAAACCTACCAACCCTTAAGAAAGATTTCCTAAAATATAGATCCATCATTTTTATTTCACACATTATATATTATGAAATACAATGTGTACACAGAAAAGTTTCAACAGAAATGCTTATCATCCAAGTTAAGACATAAAACACGGCTCTAGATCAGAAACCTTTCCTAAAACCACCCTCCCTCTCATTAAAGGAAATCATTATTTTGACTTTTTAGTACGTTTTCCTTGCCTTTATATTTATACCACGTGTGTATACATCTTTTAACAATTTAGATGAGTTCTGCCCCCCCTTTTTTTTTATTTTTGTAAATCATAGCAGACAGTATATATAAATGCTTCTATGCCTTGCTTACTTGACATTTTAAAAAGATATTTCCATGCAGCAGCATGTGAGTGCAGTTCATTCGTTTTTGATGCTATACTAGGCTGTCACATTTTATTGTACCATCAGCAACGTAGGAGTGTTCCACTTCTGGACATTTTTATCAACACGTGTTATTGTCTGTCTTTATAATTAAAGATATCATAGTGGATGTGAAGTCATAGTTCATTGCTTTTGATTTGCATTTCCCTGATTAATGATGCTAAACACCTTTTCATGTGGTTATGGGCCATATTTTTATATCTTCTTTGGAGAAACATCTATTCAGAATTTTTGCCCATTTTTAAATGAGATCTTTAGTCTTTTCATTATTGAGTTGTAAAACATCTTTCTATATTCTGGATACCAGTCCATTATCAAATATATTATTTGCAAGTATTTTTTTCCCATCCTGTGCATTGTCTTTTAATTTTTTTAGGTATCAGCTAAAGTACAGATGTTTTTAATTTTAATGAATTCCAATTATCAATTTTTTGCATTTATGGAATGTGCTTTTGGTGTCTTATCTAAGAGCATTTTACTTAATACCTACAGCCACATAGATTTTCTATGTGTTCTACAAATTTTATGGTTTAACTCTTACACTTGAGTCTAGGATGGATCTTGAGTTAATTTTTAAATATAATGACATATGGAATTACAAATTCATTCTTTTGCATGTGTATATCCAGTTGTTCCAACACCATTTGTTTTAAAAACACTATTCCTTCCCCACTGATTTTATCTTGGCACCCTTGTTGAAAATTGGTTGTCCATGTAAGGATTTATTTTCTTAATTTCTATTTTGCATTGTTTATTGCAAGAAAATAGAAATACAATTGATTTTTACATACAGTTCTTGTATCCTGACACAGTGATGAACTTGTTACTGGTTGTAATAAGTGCTAACGAATTTCTCAGGATTTTATGAATATACTATAGGCCCAGTGCATGAAAATTCATGCACTGGAGGGCGAGTCCCTCAGTTAAACATTTCTTGCAAATCAGATCTATTAGCAACAAGTTCCCTTAATTTCTATCTGAAAAAGTATGTTTTGCCTTCACTTTTAGAGGATAATTTTGCAGGGGATATAGTCCAGATTCTTTCTACTCTCATGGTAAGATTTTTTTTTTTCTCCATAATTTTTAGGCTACTGAATACCTTTTTCTGGGAATTTTCCCTTGTTCTGTATATGTGAGTCTGAGCCTGCAAAAATACAGGTGAATTAAATAGTTTATTTCCCCCCCCCCCCCCCCCCTGCCGCCCAGAATCTCTAGTGCCTAATAAAGTTCCTGGCATAGAGATACTAAAAAAAAGTGTGTGAATGAATGAGCTAATTGTGATGTAATAGCCAACTCAAATTGCTTATGTTATCTTACAACACATAGAATAGTCTTCAAAATTAGTCACTGATGTGTAATGAAAAAATTTTGCGCTACCATATACTTTGAGACCTCCTGCATTTAAATAAAATAAAAATTTTTAAAAAAGAGAACTTACCAGCTCTTCTTAGACCTATATGATGAGTTAGCGATATAGATGCTGACCTTTGCTTCGGGGTTGTAGGTGGGTTTGAACTAAAAGGCCCATTTAGGTAGATTCCTTGACTGAAAAGGAAGACAATAGGTTAACAATTTTAAAACTGGGAAATTTCCTCATTTCTATTAGTGGTCTTCAATTAGCAAATAGTGGCTTTGCAGCCCATAAGGTCTCTGTTGCAGCTACTCAACTTTGCCCTTGTAGCTTAAAAGCAGCCATAAACAGTAATAAATAAGTATGACTGTTTCAATATAATTTTATTTACAAAAATGGTTACATTGCTGAACACTAGCATATAGCAGGTTATCTGTATAACCCGGATTGCTTCTTCTAACACAGATTGCTGTTCATACCCCCGGGGATTTCTGCTTCTGCAAACCAGGGTTAGGGATAGATTTTCTATTAACTTCTTAGAGGAAATGCTAATGTTTTGTTTTTTTTACACCATTTTCGGTTCTCTTCACGAATATGCTGATTATCCATTAAGTCAATCATTTCTTTTTAAAATTTTTATTGATTAAGGTATTACATGTGTGTCCTTATCCTCCCATTCCCTCCTACCCCAACTCCAACCCCCATCATGCCCTCACCCCTTGGTGTCTGTGTCCATTGGTTAGGCCCATGTGCATGCACACAAGTCCTTTGGTTGATCTCTCCCCCTCACCCATACCCACCCCTACCGTCCCTCTGAGATCTGAGCATCTAATCAATGCTTCTCATTCTCTGGATCTGTTTTTGTTCATCAGTTTATATTGTTCATTATAATCCACAAACGAGTGAGATCATGTGTAAGTCATGTGGTGTGAAGCCTGCTAGGAGGGGAAGGGAGGCTGCGGAGGTAGCTACTGGAGTGGCGCTCCCGACAGAAGCCAGGACCCGCCGGCTCCCTGTGGTAGCGGGGACGGGCCGGTTCTGAGCGGCCCAGCAGAGAGGGGGTACTTGCCGGTTCCGAGCGGCCGGCGAATGGGGATGTACTGGCTCCCGGTAGGAGCAGGGGACTATTTATTTATTTATTTATTTATTTATTTATTTATTTAACCTAGACAGCTTTCCATATAATTTTTCTATGCTCATTCATGGCAAGATTACTTATCTCTTTTACTCTTTTAGTCCATTTAACTTTTCCAAGGAAGTGGTCATCTTTATCCTGAGGGAATAACAGGGTTTTGAATCCCAGGCTAGGAATTTGGGTACAATTCTACAGGCATTTGTCCAAAAATGTAATGACTAGAAAACCTATAATCAAAGTTTTGTTTAAGGAAGATTTCTGGTTGAAGGTTAGAAATGGATTGGGTACAACCAATGGACACAAAACTCTGGGGAGGGAGGGGATGTGTGGGAGGGAGGAAGGGAGGGGGGCAAAAAAAATCAATAAAATATATTTAAAAAAAAAAAGATGGATTGGGAAGTTAATGATATTAGAAATGGGAAGACCAATTAGGAGGACAATTCAATAGCCCAAGTAAGGAGTAACGAAAGCATGAAATAGTGTAGGTAAAGTGACACAGGAGAATAAACAATGGGAGGGAGGGGCGGGGGAGGAAGGAGATGAGAGTTTATAACTGATACCTGCAGAATAAGAAAACAGGATGCAAACACCGTGTTCTAGGTAAGCCAATTTTGTAAGCAACCACTAGAAGGAAGCATTGTGCCAGGAAATAAGACCAGAATGAGAGTAACAAAAAAGCAGCTGGGGGGCTGAGAAATTTGGTTTCAGACATTTTCAGGGAATAAGAGGTTCAATAATGAAACAATGTTGAAAGCCAAGTCAGGGTCATCGCAGATCACAGAGAGGCTATGATCAGAATCCAAAGCTGCATTCAAATCAAGACTCACAAATCTAAGATATGTGATCTCTGCTTTCGAGCATTCTACTGAAGTCAGGATGAATGTCTCATGATTCCAGAGTCAAAAGTCTATTATAATACTTTTGTGCTAAACAAAATATCACCATATTTTAAAAATAATAGCTTTTCTGTTTAAGAAGACTGCTCTAAATGCCTATATGGTAGTCACATATAGCTAGCTCTACATTTTAATTAAATTCATATTTAAATCCAATTGCTCAGTCATACTAGATACATTCCAAGTGATCAATAGCTAGGAACTATCATATTGGTGAGATATAAAATACTCCCATCATCACAAAAATTTATATTGTACAGCACTTAATCTAGAAACTTGAATTTTAAAAGTAGTAATGGCTGTAAATGCTTCCAATCTTCCCATCTTATCTTATGTTCAAAGTAAGCTCCAGCTTCTGCACACTAAAAAAAATTACTTCTAACCTTACCTCTTTAAAGTAGACGTTCCATAATATCACCAATTACTTTATTCTCCAAATCCTAAAATCTTTTATGGGAGTTAAGTAATCAAATCTGCCTACATATACCTTTATATGAACACTTTTCAGAGTTAAAGATAGTTTTCTTTAGAGTGTGTTTCTATTTTAATATCTATCATTCTTTAATTGCAAATGTATTGCTGTTACATCAGTGTGATGAAAAAAACAAACAAAAAAAACCCCCAGAATCATTTTCATCATTCTTTCTTAAATCCAATATTCTCAAGATGATGTTTCCCATGGTTAAGAAATATCTTTCATATTTTCAGTTTCTAGCATCATTTACTTCCCCATATCCTGATTCCATTAGGGGAAAAAAAAGCTTGTTCAGACTCTGAGCAAGCTTTGGACCAAAGCTCCTTTTCCTATACTGTATTCAAACCTCAATCCATTCCTGTTTAATATACCATTTCACACAATATTTTTCAATAAATGAGTCCATCTATTTCAATATAGAAGATTCAAATTAATATATCACAAAATAATCTGGAAAATTATAATTATTTGGTCATATTTCACATGATAATACTAACCAATTTTAACAAATAGCTATGATCCAATTCTGCCACCTGGTGTTTTAAATTTGTAACTACCTAGCTCAAGCTAAAACACATGCTCAGTAAGAATGGTAGTTTAACAGGAAATTTACACGGATACCAATTTTATTAATATGACCAGGTGACTGACAAAATAGGAGCTTATCTTTCCTGATCACAAGAGATCACTATCTTTCCTGGCTTTTAAGACAAAGCACTGAATCTTTTGTTATCAGTGTAAATGGATATATTTACATTCAGATCTCAGCTCCTGGCATTTTCTGTTTCATAGTTACTGGTGCCTTTCAAAGACCCTTAACATCTGACAATGTGCTCCTCCTCCCACGCATCAGAAACTGTTGCCCTATTTGGGTATCATGCATTAGACCTGGTGACTGTTCCTGGAGTGGCCACCTCTACCAGTTTATAAGCTTTCCCAGCACCCTGCACTAACTGGATCCTAACTTCCTTTCAGGTCCCAACTTAAGTTTGGGGATAAAACAGCTTCTTCTTTAAGAATCACTTTCTATTATGTCATACTAGAGGCCTGTTGCACAAAATTCATGCACAGGTTGGGTCCACAGGCCTGGCTGGCGAACAGGGCTAATTGGAGCCAGACTGATCTTGGCTGGGCCAGAGAGGAGGTGACGGTTGCCAGGCCGGGTGCAGAAGGAACAGACACGGGATGCTGACAATTGCCATCACTGGCACCCTGCCACCATGTGGTTCCCTGGCCTCTTCCCCCATTTCACTTGTCACCGCGCCACCACTGCAGTGGGCAGGTAGCAGGCCGATCAGGGCCTGACGGCCGGGGCAGGAACTGCGGGAGGTTGGCTGTGGAAGTGCACTGACCATCAAGGGGCAGCTCCTGCGTTGAGCATCTGCTCTCTGGTGATCAGTGTGTGTTATAGCAACCAGTCATTCTGGTCATTCCGGTTGTTCTGGTCGCTTTGGTTGGTTATGCTTTTATATATATAGCTTAGGTATGCTGTCTTATACCTAAATAAGTACGTCGACTGTTCCTTTCCACTTTTAGAACTATTTCAAACTTTGTTCACAGAAGCAAAGCGAATGTATCAGATTCAGATTTCTTGAACAGGCTCTGGGGATTTTACCTTGAAACACCAACTTCCTGATGAGGCCTTTTGCCATTATTGCGTTCCCACCTTGAAGAAGGAGGTTCAGCAGGGGGCAGACTCGAAGTTCCTGAGCTCCTCCTCAGCTGTGGAGTTGGTAAACTATTCCTACTGAGTAGTCCCTGTTGGACAATTAAACAGTGGTTAAAACCGTCATCCTATAATATCTGTCTTAAAGATGTCACCTAAAAATATGTATTGGGGAAACAGAACATTTTTATTCTGAAATTATGTCAATTTTACTCCACATTCTATATTCTACTTATCCTTCTAGTACTAAAAAATGATATCTGAACTCCCTACAATTTAACTATATATTTTTCTTTTGCACACTTTATTCCTAGTATCATGAGAAATAAACAGTTGATAATTTAAAAAGTAGATATGAAAGATTTACCTTAAAAAAAAACAAAACTTCAGAGGACAAAATTAAGATCAGTGATTGTCCTGAACCTTTCATATTTTTAGTACAAGGCTAGTGTCCATAGAGGTTAACCTGGAGAAACTGCAGGATTCTGAGCTGCTTTTTGAACAAATGACTAAATCCAGAACATCCTTAGCCTTGATACAGTTTTACTTTAGTTTTTTAAAATTTTTTTTTTTTTTTTTTTTTTTTCCCACTATGAATAGGTGTTTTACTGAGATATACAGAAAAGTTTCTTTCTTAAGAATTTCCTATCAGCAGACACTGAAACCATCTCAGAGAGATAAATATCTCTTACAGTTTTCCCAAGGATGTTGATTTAGTAAAGGTTTGTGGTTAGTTAGAAATTTAGGTTCATATAATCTGTTTTGTTTCTTAACATAGTTTATAAGACATTTATTTAGATTAAAGTATCTATTCCAACTCTTTTCCTTACTAGTTATTTTTTCATAACTAGTTCTTTTCTAACCTAACATAAGGCTTCTTCTTTTCCAAAAGCAGAGACAAATTAGATGTAAAATTCAAACAAGAAGTTTCAAGAATACAAAAAATAAGGGTTACATCCTGATTTTTTTTAAAAATTGATTTCAGAGAGGAAGGGACAGAGGGAGAGGGAGAGGGAGAAACAACGAAGAGAATCATTGATTGGCGGCCTCCTGCACACTCTACAATGGGGATCGAACCTGGGACCCATCAGTCCACAGGCTGATGCTCAATCTACTGAGCCAAACCAGCTAGGGCCAGATTCTTATCTGACTTATTTTTACCAATAGAATCCAGTAACCAAAATAAGCCTGATTAACTAGAATGTTCAAGAAATGAGGCATTTAGACAATATTATTGTTTAAATGCTTCTAAAATGTACCAGTACACTTTTCTACACAGTAAACATGGTAACAATAATGCTATCAATTATGATTTTATGATTAAGATTTTTAAAAAACTTAAAAAAATTACTAAACATCAAAGTCCATGGGAAATAAAAAAGGAAGAGCAACAGATCAAGTGAAAACTAACTCAAGAATATATTAGCTCTTTTACTGATGAATTTGTTGCTATCCCATGATTAACCTCTAAGTATCAACTGGTATAGTTGCATTTTGACTGTGGCAGGTAATACTGTATATAATTTAAAAAAAAAATAAAAGCATGACAGACCTGGTTGTGTGGCTCAGTCGGTTAGAGCATTGCCCCATGTACTGGAAGGTTGCAGGTTCCATTCCAGATCAGGGCACTTACCTAATAGTTTCATGTTTGAGCCCCAGGTGGGGTGGGTGCAAGAGGCAACCAATCCATGTATCTCTCTCACGTCACTGTTTCTCTCTCCTTCCCTCTCTAAAAACAAATAAATAAAAGCATCACATAAATACTTATGACCCAGCTTTGAAATCAATAATTATCAAATGTTTGCCCTAATCAGGCTTGGTTAGTTTTCAACATTTCTATACCCTAATACCGAGAACCAAATGAAATTAAATGATGATCAAAATCCCTCCAAAAACTATATTTACTATTATCAATAAACAAAAACAAACAGATTTGAATTTTATCTTCTCTTAGTTTATTTACTTATAAATTAAAGTAGTTAAATGAAAACAATGTATAAAATGTTTCCATTTTTAGTTTTATGATTTTAGCAATTGGTAAAGATATTGATAGTTAAATAAAACAATTAGCCAGAACAGGTTTGGCTCGGTGGATAGAGCATCGGCCTGCAGACTGAAGAGTTCCAGGTTCGATTCCATTCAAGGGCATGTACCATGGTTGCGGGCACATCCCCAGTATGGGGTGTGCGGGAGGCAGCTGATCGATGTTTCTCTCTCAACAATGTTTCTAACTCTCTATCCCTCTTCTTTCCTCTCTGTTAAAAAAAAAATCAATAATAATAAATAAAAATTAAAAGCACTCTGGACAAGTACAATGTATGCCTTTTTAGAAAATTAAATTTATCCCATTTCTAATGATGGATAAAGCAATTCCTATAGGGCTGTAGCAATTTCTAGTGGATAAATAGGGGGGGGGGGAGACTTTACAAATGTAAAAATCAATTTAAAGTACATAATGCTATATAATGCATAAAATTAACATTATAATGATAATTTCTTCTTGGTTTAACAAGAACAATTTCTGGATTCTAAAGAATAAAATAGATTACTGACATGATTACACTACTATTGTAGTATGTTGTACAAGTCTGGATTGCTTTTTTGCTCTAGTACCTAAAACAACAACAATAACAAAAAATAGTTGGTACTGCTGCAGTTATAATGGCTAATTACAGCAAGGTTATTTGGAATAAAAATGGAATACTCGTTTAAAAGATTTTGAGATTATTACTACTTTTAAAGACCCAAGGAGCACAATATACTGGAAAAGAAACTGATCCTCAGAAAAGAAATTCTAATTTAGGTAAGATTTTAAAGAGCAGTTTTAATTTGAAAATGTGATAAATCGGGCAGGCTGATGACTGTGTTTTCACCTTGTGAAGTTTTCTGTCTCCTCTTTCGGTGGGGTCCTCTGTTTCTGAGCAAGGGTAAAATCCAGGGAACGGTGTGAGAGGATTAATCTTTGGTCTGCAGGAACCCAAGAAAGCACCCATCAAGCTGCTGATGCTCCGTAGGGAAGAAATGACTTGAGGGGGGAGGGTTGGATCAATCAGAAGATCTGACACCATATTGCGAGCCTCATTTAGCACAGAAAGATCAACTCCACTTCCACCTCCAGAATTCTAGAGAAGAAAAGTAAAATTATATATTTGTTACACAGAAAATTCAACATTGAAGACAAACTTCCTCTAGTTTAAAATCAAGGTCTATCTAATATCTAAATAAGTTAATTCTGTTAAATATTAATGTCATTCATTTGGACATTGATATAACATGATATATCAATGGTATAACAAATGGTATAAAATTATCACTTTAAAATTTTTGATGTTTAAGTATGTAGCAGATAACATGAATTTTAATTTTTTCTGTATTTTCCATTAGCTTAGCTATATTTAATAGTATTCTTTACTGACAAGAACTAGCATAAAATTAAATTTGTACTGCATCAAAATCTACAATCAGAGGCTTTCATTAATTTATTGATGATTTCCTTTATGTCAAAATTTCTTTTAAACATATATAGCATTTTGCCAAAACCGGTTTGGCTCAGTGGTAGAGCGTCGGTCTGCGGACTGAAAGGTCCCAGGTTCGATTCCGGTCAAGGGCATGTACCTTGGTTGCGGGCACATCCCTGGTAGGGGGTGTGCAAGAGGCAGCTGGTCGATGTTTCTCTCTCATCGACATTTCTAGCTCTCTATCTCTCTTCCTTCCTCTCTGTAAAAAATCAATAAAATATATATTAAAAAAAAAAAAACATATATAGCATTTAAACATATGGCATTTCTTTCATTCACCTTTGTCACTCTAGCACAGAGACCAAGCTTTGTTGGCAAAGATGACTTTGAAATCTAGGCTTTAACCCTAACTGTGATTTTGAGCAAGTCATTTAACATTTGAACCTTTTAGTTTTTTCACTATAAACGGGATAATAGCATCTACTTTATTAAGAGCTGATGTGAAAATTAAATCTATTAATACATGCAAAGCACATAAAGCAGTATGTGGTGCATATATTTAAAGTGTAACAAATAATAGTATTACTATCAATATTATGGAAAGTGAGATAAGAGTACAGAAAAAAATGGTATTACAGTTCAAAGTAAATGGTGATAACTTTGAACTAAATGGTTAACAAATTCCTGGAAATAGCATCAGGCTGGGTCCTAAAAAATGGGTAGAAAATGTATTCTAAAAATAAAGTATTTCATTAATGTATATATGTTTTGTACTTTTTAAAATTCTATATAAATTTTATTCAACTAAATAAACCACAGAAATAAGTATACTAATAATCAGAACAGTGAATTAAATGTTACTTTTGTTTGTTTTACTGTATCTTGAATCTACATTTGAGTGTATTTAGAATTCTTAAGTATTTAAAGTATTTAATGATTTCATCATGAAACTGTTAAACTATCTTCAACACATTTTATTTATTTTTAAAATACGTTTTTATTGATTTTAAAGAGAGGAAAGGAGAGGGAGAGATAGAAACATCAGCGATGACAGAGAAACATTACTCGGCTGCCTTCTGCGTGCCTACTGGGGATTGAGCCTGCAACTCCAGCATATGCCCTTGATTGGAATTGAACCCGGGACCCTTCAGTCCATGGGCTGATGCTCTATCCACTGAGCAAAACCAGCTAGGGCTCCACACATTTTAGAATGGAAAAAAACCGTTAAGAAAGTGAGACCAGTAATTAGCTAAGTAATGTCTTTGTTCTATGTGGAATTTTTTAAACTTTTTCTTGTGAAGCACTATTTTGTGTTTTTATTTAAAAAAATCCCCATTATTGGGGCACAGGCCAGCTATTTCTGGTCAATTAAGAGTACTTCTGACAAATGGCTTGTTATAATTTTGAATTGACAAGCCAGTTAATGAACATGTTAAAATTTGATTATTACTATAAACCTTCCTTCACATGTTGGTCAAATTATAATATATAAAAACCTAGAGTTTTAAGGGCAATAGCTATTTGGCGTAAGGTGTAAGAAAGCAGTGCAGTTCAATTTTTTAATGACTGGTTTGGCAGTATAGTGCATATGGCTGGCTATCAGTGTCCAGATATAGGGATTATGTATTTTTTGTCTGCCAAGAGCATCTCCTCCTGCTGAAAAAGCCCCCCCCTCCCCGCCTCCATTTAAGCAATCCTATCCTATAAAATCTATCTATACTAATAAAAGGATAATATGCTAATTAGACCAGGTTGACTGGCCATCTTCTGGAGGTACAACTTCCTTCCAGACAAAGCCATGGTGGTGGGGGCTGAGACAGAAAGGATAGTTGGGGCAAAATCAGGCCAGCAGGGCAGAGCCATTGGGGGTGAGATCAGGCCGGCAGGGGAAGGCAGTTAGGGTTTATCAGGCAGGCAGGCAGGTGAGGGGTTAGGAGTCAGTTGCCCCAGATTATAAGAGGGATGTCCAGCAGACATCCCCCAAAGGGTCCCAAATTAAAAAGGGTGCAGGCTGGGCTGAGGACCACCCCACCCCCATGCACAAATTTTGTTCACAGGGCCACTAGTCTATAATAATAAAAGCATAATATTGCTAATTAGACCGGACATCTTTCCAGACAAAGTCAGGGCTGTGAAGGAAGTCCGGGTCCCGGGTGTCTGCTGATGGCTAGAGGGAAGCTGGTGCCAACAGACAGGGGAAGGAAGACCTACTCTTGCATGAATTTCATGCATCGGGCCTCTATTATATAAAATATTATATATTTTCCACAAATTATACATAATAGCATCAATCTACTTTCCTTACACCCAAATGTGAAATCTGCTATTTGAGTTGGTGTTTTCCTATAAGTAATGTGACATTTCTCTCTGGCTGCTTTCAAAATATTTTATCTTTAGTTTTCAAAAGTTTAATTATGATTTGTCTTGGAGACTTTTTTTTTTTTTTTTTTTTAGTGATCCCACTTGGTATTCGCTCAGATTCCTGAATTTGTAGAATTATGTCTTTTGCAAAATCTGGGAAGTTTTCAGTCATTATTTCTTCAAATACTCTTTTAAAAACTCACTCTTTTTCTCCCCTCCTTTCTAAACACTGATGATCTTTTGTTGTGTCATTCAGGTCCCTAAGGCTCTGTTCCATCTATTTCCTCTGTATAATTTAAATTGAGTAAATCCTATTGCTCTATCCTCGAGCTTGCAGATTCTGTCCTCAGTGGTCACCACTCTAATGCTGAGAACATTCAGCAAGTTTTTAATTTCATTTGTTTCTTTCTTATAACTTCTATTCTTATAACTTCTATTTCTTTGCTGAGATTTTTCTATTTTATTTGTTTCAAATGAATTTGTAACTGTTAGAAACAATTTTCTGATGATGGCTGCTTTAAATGTTTTTTTCAGGTAATTATAAATCTGTTCATCTTTGTGGTAAGTGCTAATATAGTCTTTTCTCATTCAAGCTGTGATTTTTCTGGGTTTTGGTATATGACAGGTTTTTTTGTGTGTTTTTTCTATCAATGATTTGGCTAATAATGCTTCATGTAATGCTAGAAGACTGTATCCTATTTAAATCTTTTATATTAGGAAGCAGACTTGTTTAGATTTCACACAAAGATCCTGGTCTACTTTTTTAGGTTGTGGTTCTAATGACAACTTATTATTTTTTTTAATGTTTGTACTGATGTTTAGATAGAGAGGAAGGGAAAGGAAGAGAAACATTGATGAGAGAGAACCATTGATCAGCTGCCTCCTGCACAATCAAGCCTGCAATCTGGGCTTGTGCCCTAAGAATCAAACCAACAACCTTCTGGTGCATGGGACAATGCTCAATCCACTGAGCCACACTGGCCAGGCTCTAATGTCAATTTAATTTTTAGGGCATTCACAATGTTATTTCAGTCTGCTTTTTTTTCTTTTTCTTCTGGTGTCACTAGGGTTCCCCCTGGTCCCTGCTGGTTCCTCCTCTGTCGGGGAGAGGGAACTTCCTCAGGCTGGGCTACCTGGTACCTTCAGGTGAAGAAAGGAGGACTCCAGGCCACAGGGACAAAGAACACTTTCTGGGCTAGGCACTTGTGGCAGTATCCCCTGTGCCAGGCCCCCTGGCCACCCCATGTCTCTCACTGGGGAAGGAAATCTCATGTCCAGTAGAGAATGAGAGTACAGTCCCATGCCTCATGACATTTTGATCAACAATAGACCACATCTACCACAAAGGTATACACCATGTAGCCTAGCACACAGTAGGCTGCACACACAGGTTTGTGAAAGTGTACTCTGTGATGTTCACACTTATTGCCAGTGGCATTCCTGATCAAGTCCCTCTTGCCAAAGCCACCAGATTCACTTGGCATTGTTTGCAGAACTCTCCTTCAATCTTAGGGGGGAAATGAGCCTATTCTCAACACCTTCTGTTGCTCGGTTGAGAGCGAGGGCCTGAGTCACCTTTTGCTTTTGGATGGGGGTTGTAGGAAACCCTGTAATTATGTTGTTTCTCCATTGCTGTGGTCCTTAATAAGGCCAGCCTACTCTTCCCTTTTCTTTTTCAGAGTTTTTTTCATGCATTATTTCCAGAGTTTATACAATAGTTGTTCTTAACAGAGAGAAGCAGAGATAATTAAATCTGAGGATGCGTGTAGATCACATAAGACAGGGAATAATACATATAGGAAAAGTGCAATAAATATTACTGCTCTTATTCATGTTATGGGAAGTGATGATATAAAGATACGAATAAAATAGTATTAGAGTTCAAAGGAAATACAGATAACTTTTAATAATGAATAGTTAACAAACTATGGGAGAGGTAGCATTTGGTAGGATTTTATTTATAAAAGATTGGGGAAATAATGTTTTACAATGAAATTAAAAAATTATTTTGGGGAGCTCATTTTTCAAGAAGGAGAATGAATAAAGGTAGAAAAGTGGTTTTTAAAAAGGTGGTAAAATAGCAAGGTGCAGAAAACAAAATTATTAAAGTACGTGCTATATTAAAGAGAGAGAGAGAGAGAGCGCGCGCGTGAGTGCACGCACGTGCGAGCGAACAGTGGAAAATAAGGTTGGAGAGGCATGTTGGGGCACTGGCTTCCAGGCAAAGGAATATGGGCAATGGAGAATCATGGGTTTTTAAGCAGGTTGAAGAGAAAGAAGCAAGGAGAGGGAAAAGGAAGTGATGGAGGGCACTGAAATTTTAAGAGTATAAGGCTGCAATTTGTTAAGATCTGACAGAGGTGTGGGGAAAGAGCATTCCAGGCAGAGAGACTACCAAGTGTGAAGACTTGGAGGCAGAAGCCTGCCCAGCTCGTTTGCAAAAACAAGGAGGCCAGTGTAGCTGGAGCTGTAAACGAAGGAGGAAGTGCAGGAAGATGAGGTCAGAGAAGTAAAAGCCAGTAAAGAGACCATATTGTGTAAGGTCAGAGTATTATGTGCAATGATGTGCACTGATCTTACAGATAAAGTTCTCAAAGAAGCAAACCAGACAGTACATGTGACTGATTCCATTTATGTAAAATTCAAAGACAGGAAAACATTAGGTTTCATAAAGCATATTAAACCCAATATAACTTTTGTAGAACAGAATATACAAACACATTCCAACTCAATGGAGAAAGGTTTGTAAATATATGCATCAAAAGTGCTCCATGGTTGGCCTATGTGCCAGTGTCTTTCTTACATAGAAGTTTCTCTCTTCCCTCTCTCCCTTCTACTCTAAGCATCAGTGGAAAAAATATCCTCAGGTGAGGGTTAATAAGAACAAAAATTGTTAACATAGTTGTTACCTGATGTTTATGAGTGATTTCTCTTTTTTCCTATACTTCTATTTTCTGTTATGGTACAAACATATATTACTTAAATGAGCAAAAATATTTACAGAGTACATACTAATATTAAATGACTGTGTGTGTGTAATTCACAAGTAAGCAAAACTAACTGCTTGAAGTCAGGAAAGAGATTATCTTTGAGGATATATATAAGTAAAAACTAGAATGGTACATAAGTGAAGCTTCTGGGATGCTGGCCAGGTGTTCTTTCTTGATATGAGTACTAGTGGAAATTTACCAAAGAGCAAAATGATACTGCTTTCCTGATAAAATATTTTAATAATTGTCTTGCTTTTTCTCACATATGGCCTTTAATCTATTTTTCCCCTCATGTGGATCAGTTGCTCACAATCAGAAAAAAATTCTCATCCTTAATATAAAATTATTAGTTTATCCTGAGTCCAGATTATTATAGTAAACTATGAAATGTAACTATATATGCTTGGTTTTTTACCATTTCATTTCCCCCTTACAATTAAAACATTGTAATCTATCTAAATTAAAGTTCTGGCTATTTTAGGTCAAAATAATGAAAATCTTATGTCATAGCAGTCTTGTTACTGTAACTTTAAATGTCAAAAGTTTCATTATATTTTAGATATCAGTGATAATCACATATTTACCTGATAATGAGGTTTATACCACTGCTTCAAGTCCCAATCCCAAAGAATCATCTGGAAAGAAAAAAATTCACTTAGTTACAAACCAGAAATAAGCAAATATATGTAAAACAAAACAGAGCATCTCAATTACAGATACTTCAAATAATGATACCTTGAAGTTTGAGAGAACTATTGGGAAGGTCAGAATAAAAATCATCTCTAGACAGAATATTTTATTAATTATGCACTCTGTGATTGAGAAACCAAAAGGAAAGTCAGAATAGTCACAAAAATACGGTAAGCTATATCTACGGCCCCAAAAGAAAACATATACATAAAAAAATCACATCCAGTCACTAAAAGAGCAAGGAAAAATATAAATAAATCATCATAGCCCAAATGATGGTGGTGCTATTTTCTTACCAATAAGGCACTTCTGTCGAAAGCAGTTTAAAAAGCTTATCTTTGTGGTTAGATTAAGTATAAAGGAATGGAGCACGAAAAGCAACACACAACTCCTTGACGTGCAGATAATTAGTGGTTTTCCTGTTTGTCTCTTTATACAATGGTAACTTTTTAGTCCCAGACTAGTTTTTTCCTGCCCCTCTTTTTCTAGCAGGCTTTCTGGCTGTTTACCCATCCAATAGTCACTATTCTCAAGGAGATAAAATTGGCTTTAATTTATTAACAAGCTATAACTTACATATCATTAATCTTAAATGTCTTCTAAGATTACTTAGTTAATAAGTGTCTCTTTTTGCTTAAGAAATTGATTATAATTATAATTTTCTACATAGTTTTGAACCTTAGTCTTGAATATAAGCCTAGTTCATGAGTCATATAATCACAGAATTTCCATATACTGAACTATTTGTGTTGTTTCCTGTTCATTGCAAAAGATCTTAGTGTTATCTACTCTATCATTAGTCCAATATTTTATTAGAAGTTGGCAGACTTCTTCTCTGTGAAGGACAGACAGTAAATATTTAAGGCTTTGCAAGCCACATAAGGTCTCTATGGAATATCCTTTTGTTTGTTTTTGTTTTACAACCTCTTAAGATGCAAAAAACATTCTTAGCTTTAGGACCATATAAAACAGGCTGCTAGGAAGATCTGTCAGCATTCTCTAGCTCGCTGACCTCTGTTTTAAATAATACTAGAGGTCTGGTGCACAAATTTGTGTATGGGTGGGGTCCCTTGCCCTAGCTGGCAATCGAGGCCGATCAGGCATCTCACCCAGTCCTGATCAGGACCAATGGAGGCTGGCCGACTGGGGAGGGACTGTAGGAGGGCTCCAGGGCCTGCCTGGCCTCTCACCCAGCCCTAATCAGCTGGATTCAAGCAGTAAGCTAACCTACCAGTCAGAGCATCTGCCCCCTGGTGGTCAGTGCGCGTCATAGTAACTGATCAAGTGGTCAACCAAATGGTCAACCAACCAGACACTTAGCATATTATGCTTTTATTATATAGGGTACCCACCCTCAATCACTCGAATTCGTCAGCTGTCATTACCACCATCTCCTTGTCAACACTCTTGAAGAAAAGTCATCCCTTGCCAGTGCATCTATTACCCCCCAAAGAAATGCAGATGTCCTATAACCACTTACAAAATCCATGGACTAGTATCCAAACAATGGCTGTGGCCTAGTACTCATTAAATTTATTCACTATTTCATATGGCCCTAACTGTTATTCTGATAAAGTTATTTCAGGATGTATTTAACCAGCATTCATTCTAGATTCTAAAAGTCATCAAGTATGAAAATAACATTTTTGAAGGCATTAGAGGGAAGTAATTTGTCCTAAACTAAGGATGATTACTTCTGAATGAGTAAGAAGAGACAAACTTAGGAGGGATTAGAAAAGTTGTAGAAAGTTTGTGAAAACCTGAGAGGAAATTTTGTGTGGTTAAACTGAGTAAAACAAAGAAATCTAAATCAAATAAGTGGATTTAAAGCATCGGAAGTTAAACTAGTACAACATTAGAGGTTGATTTTTCTCTTTAAAACAACTTGGTTTGTTACTGTATTATCAAGGGGAACTGCTTATCTGACTCAGTCCCCGAATGCAGCCCCCTGGGATGCATCTTACAGAACTGAGCCATGTTTGGCTATGAACCAATGAAGGAAATGCTTTTTCTTTGTAATATGACATGGCCACAGTCTGCTCTAGAGTCAGGAGAACACTTGCCAGAGGCTGGGTCTTTGAACTACATTACCATCTTGCAACTTGAGTCATTGAGGACAAATGGATGAAATCCCCTACATACAAGTGTTTATGCTTTTGTATCAGAATAAGCCCATTCAAATGAAATGTAAAATTACGATTCACCAGGATGGGAAACCAGACAGGTCTGAAGAGAATTCCAGGAGAACGAAGGTGACTTATTATTACTCTAGCTTGAGGTTTCAGCAGCCTTGGCCATTCCACTGCCCTTTGGCAGTGAGGCAGCTGGAGAAAGAGCTCCGACAGGCTGAGCAATGGTCTCCCCTCTCACGTCCAGCAGAGAACCCAAACTGGTCAGGGGGCCACTCTAGACTGGGAAGTTCTCATTAAAGCAAGTGCCAGTTGGAGGAGTTGATGCTGAAGTGCATATGCCTGCCTTCAGGGACCATCCTAGAAATATGGAAAGTCTCTTTTTCCCCTCATTACTGATATAACCTGACTTGGTGAACACTCTACTTACTGCCAAAGAACGGTGGGTTATCTTAGAAAAGGCAGAGGGGCGGGAAACACTAGTCACCTGCACAATGAGACACCCCAAAACCCTGTGTGAGCTGAGGCCACAGCTGCTGTGTCCCTGCTACTGGACCACACTGGAATATAAACGATGTGGACCAGCGCAAGCTTGGACATGACAGGAATTGCATTCTGTTGGGTTAAGGAAGGGAGTGCCCAAACAAGTAAGTTTTAATCTGGTCCAGCAGCCAAAACAGTGTTCAGACAAAGACCCAGCCAAATTCCTAGAATGTATTTTTGAGGCTTGTCACCAAGATACTGATGTAGACCCAGCGGCCCCTGAAAACTTAAAGGTTGTGAACATGACTGTTTTGGCTCCGAGTGCCCCTGATGTCCAAAGAAAGCTTCAAAACGATGCTGAAACTGGTTTGGCTCAGTGGATAGAGCATCAGCCTGCGGACTGAAAGGTCCCAAGTTCGATTCCAGTCAAGGGCATGTACTTTGGTTGCGGGCACATCCCCAGTGGGGAGTGTGCAGGAGGCAGCTGATCGATGTTTCTCTCTCATCAATTCTTTTCTAGCTCTCTATCCCTCTCCTTTCCTCTCTGTAAAAAATCAATAAAATATATTTAAAAAACAAAAAAACAAAAAAACACGTTAAGAGTCCTTGTGCTCTTAAGTTGTTCAACAGCAGAGACCAGATCTGGGGAGAAGAATGAGATGAAGCAACAGGCTGACTTGCTGGCTGCTGCTCTGACCACCAGAGGGCCTAAGAAGATAAGGAACAAGGTAAAGGCCACTGGGACCAAGCAACCTGCTCCAAAATTGGGCCCCAAACAATGTGCTCACTACAAACCAGAGGGTCATTGGGAGAGGGGGGAAATGACTAAGTTTAAACAGAGAACAGGACAAAGAGGTAGGAGGAGCATCACAGATAATCCAGTTATCCCTGAGTGATGGACCCGGGGCCTCTGGTCAACACCAGCCACATGGAACAGTGGGGAAAGAAATTAATGAACTAAAAAAAATTAATGGACTTTAAAAATATATTTTTAAATTAATTTTAGAGAGGAAGAGAGAGGGAGAGAAATAGAAACATCAATGAAGAGAATCAATTTTTAAATTTCTTTTTAAAAAAATAGATTTTATTGATTTTTTTTAGAGAGGAAGGGAGAGAGAGAGAGTTAGAAACATCGATGAGAGAGAAGAATCGATCAGCTGCCTCCTGCACACCCCCTACTGGGGATATGCCCGCAACCAAAGTACATGCCCTTGACTGGAATCGAACCTGAGACCTTTCAGTCCTCAGGCTGAGGCTCTATCCACTGAGCCAAACCAGCTTCGGCGAGAGAGAATCATTTTTAAGCTGCTTCCTATACACCCCTTACTGGGGATCAGGCCCGCCCGGGAAATTGAACTGTGACCTCCAGGTTCATAGGTTGATACTCGACCACTGAGCCACACTGGCTGGGCTTAATTTACTTTCTAATTGACACTGGAGCCACATATTTTGTATTAAAAACTAGATTAACTAAACTCTCCTCTGGAACATGGCTTGTGACTGGAATGTCACAGTCAGTAAGGAAGCCAATTAGATTGCCAATTGGGAAAAACAAACCTTAACCGTAGCTTCTTGTGTTGCTGAAATGCCCAGTGCCACTTTCAGGATGGGACTTACTGGCTAAACTAAAGGCCAAAATAACCTCTGCCCCCGACGGGTTGATATTAAAGTGCCCCTGGAAGAAGCTTGTGTTTTACAGGCAGCAGTGCTGGCTTTGGCCAAAGAAAGAACTTCTGACTGAGCTCTCCAATTAATCTTGCAAGAAATAAGTCTGGAAGGATGGGCAAAGGGCAGGCCTGCAGAGGCTAAGACGGCTATCCCAATCCAAATATGATTTTGCACAAAAGCAAATGCCTTTCTATCTAAAACAGGACCTTCTAAAAGAACCAGCTGGGAGAGGAATCCAACCAATAGTGATAGCACTCCTAGAATATCAGCTTATTCAGCCCTGTCATTCACTATATATAATTCTTCCATTTTACCAGTAGAGAAATGAGGTACTGAGGAATACAGATCTATGCAGAACTTGAGGGCCCTCAACCAAATAGTGGAAGACATCTACCTGGTGGTCCCTAACCCTTGGTGACCACTTTGGGAAATTTTGGTGGTTTGCTCTTCTGGACTTAAATGCCTTTCCTTTGTATACCCTTGAACTCTGAATCTCGGGAGCTATTTACACTTGGGAGACTGTTGAAATGTTATTCTCCAAGAGTTCAAAATCTCCCCCATTGTTTAGAGAGGCTTTTGCCAGAGATCTAAGAGAATTTCAACAGGATAATGGAGCAATACTTCATAAGAGTGCTGTTATTCATTGTCTAGGCCATCAGAAAACA